AAAAAAAAAATAAAAAATAAAAGGAAAAACAAACTATTGGCAAACACTAACATAGTCACAGATTTCTACCATACAGGCTCAGTCTACTCTCCACTTGCCCTATAGCAGAACTGATTGGCCTGAATTGCCCATGTATATTTTAGAGATATCAAACCTATAATTTACAATTTCCCACTGAACTTACAAACTCATACCTGATGGTTTTGTGACTCTTGCAGGCCATTCATAAGGCATGGTACAACTGGGTGATACACCAAGTAGCCAGCTGGGGCAGGAGTATTAAGCTGATTCAGGAAGGAGTTAGCTGTCCCTAGACATCTGTGTCTGAATACACTTGGTTGTATCAGCAATTGCCCTGCACGCTGTCCTTGATTGGGAAGTGTTTGTTGCACTATGTCTGAAAGGGATGGGATGAGTTATTGCTGGTTGTTGTTCACATTTAATAACACTTTAAAATTAGAACTCTCTCTTCAGTGCAAGAGCCTAACAATACTATCAGACTACACTGCACTAAAACAAAGGCAGAGACTGGAAGGACAGAGTGGAGATTTGCCAAACTTATCCTGGCTTGTTCTAAGGTTTAAAAAAAAAAAAAAAAAAAAGAGAGAAGAAAAGAAAGGAAAAGGAAAAGGAAAGGAAAACCCAGGACAAATCCTGAGTGAGATGGGATTCCACGATAGCTGACTTACACCGAGATTGTCCTTAGCAAACCAGGATGCACACTTGCCCGGCTGTCCAGGGAAGGAGATCTGCCCTTCCTTGCCATTTCTCCTCCTCCTGACTGGAGTGTGGACGTGATGGCAGCCATCTTTGGCCCCAAAGTGGTAAGATAAGGATGGCAGAATAGTAAGATGAGGAGCCTGGGTCCCTGACTCTGTAGAATCACCATACCAACTCTTGACTGTCTACTCCTGGATGGTTTTATTTTATTTCTTTTGGGGCGAGGGCTGGTAATTGTGACTGAAGAAAAAGTTCTTACAAGGTGCATACAAAAGCAAACCAAATTCAATACTAATAGGTTACAGTTATGAACTGACCTTATTTGGACTATCCAGGCAAAACTTTCCTCGTTTGTCATTGGTTAAGCCTAAATTTTGTTTTTCTTCTAAGTTGATGTTGGGGGGTACAGAAATGACTCTTAAAAAATCATAGCTTAGGGATGCTGAGTGCTTTTAAAAATTGGAAAGCTTTTGGGAAATATCAAGGTCCTTATTACCTAGTTGACAGGTTTGGAAAATGCTCAGTGGTTCCTGGTGCTCCTTGCAGGATACAGGATAAGAAATTCTCTTTCTTTCTTTTTTTTT